ATAGGATCTTTACTGTCTTCTTGCGGCCTGTTTTCAGGGGCCCTACAGATGTACGAAACGTTTCCTGAAAGGAAACTTTGCTTATGAAGCATGAGAACTCAGAAAAGATGTGCCATGTAAGCACGTTGCGCCACTATAGTCCGAAAATACAGATTTTATTATCCTATTAGCAAACTGCGGAGCTGGTTACAGTTATGGGACGCTTTCATTGCGCAGGCATATTTTATGCATAGTTTTAGCATGATGGGCCTACTATACTGCCATACTATTTTTCTTAGGAAACTCGAAGCGAAGAGCCTACAGAAAAACGACAGCGGAGCAGGCAACTGGGATCTTTTTCGACTCGCTGCCACAAACGAGAGAAACAAAAATCAAAACAACCAACAACAAATAAGCGTCGGCAGAAAATCTACGATAGGCTCGAGGACGGACATTGCACTGGTTCTGTGAGGCAAGAGTATATCGAATCGGAGTCCGATGAGACGGAAACGACGAGAATCAGTAGAGAAAATCTACGAAGACGCCATCTGAAGCGATATCGAAAACATCCGGCGCTGAAGCCGAAGGTTAGTAAGGCCTTGCTTAACTATCATCACATCACCTGCATGTATTATGAATGTCTGTGATCTCTCTGCCTCTCTCTCTCTCGCCTCTCTCTCTTTTCTCTCTCTCTCTCTTTCTCTCTCTCCTCGTTCTCTCTCTCTCTCTCTCTCCTCTCTCTCTCAACTCTCTCTTCTCTCTCTCTCTCTCTCTCTCTCTCTCTTCGCTCTATCTCTATGTGTCTCTCTTCTCCTTTTCTCTTTATCTCTCTCTCTCTCTCTCTTCTCTCCTCGTTCATTACTCTTCATCTCTTTCCCATCTCCTTCGCTCTCTCTGTCATCTAGTCTGTCTCTTTCATCTCTCTCTGTGCTCTTCTCTCTCTCGCCTCGTCTCTCTCTCCGTCTTCTCTTCATCTCATTCTCTCATCTCTCCTCGCCTCTCTCTCTCTCTCTCTCAACTCCTCTCCTCTCTCCCTCTCCCGTGCTCTCATCTCTCTCTCTCTCTCCTTCTCCTCTCCTCTCTCTCGTCTTGTTCCTTCTCTCCCTCCCTAACTCTCTGCCCTCTCTTCCTATTATATATCTCTTTATGCCATACAGCATAGAGAACGCACGCGCGGCCTGCCGGGATCGTGACACGCAGCGCGGCCGGCGGCCGGCGAGCGGACAGACGCGCATGCCAGCGAGCCGGCTCGAGGCGAGGGAGGACGGAGCGCACATGCAGGCAAGCAATCCGCGCCACCTGGCTCGACGCACGAGAGGAGCGGCGCGCGGGAGGGGTGGAGAGAGAGATGGAGAAGGAGGAGCGACGAAGATTGGAGAAGATCTGCGGCGCTCGGAGAAGCGAGAACGGAAGCAGACGCAGGAGGTAGGTCAAGAGACCGCGTTGCCGACGGGAATCGGCGGCGAAGAGCAAGGACAGGTATCGGCCGCCAGACGCATTCGTGTGAATCGTTTTTAAAGCGTCATATTATTAAATTTAATTCTGTTTAGTATTATGTTAATTTTTATTTATTAAATTATTTTTATTTTATCTGTCGTCGATAAACGATGCCGTTAGAAAGCATAGAGATGCAGTCTGGTTTAACTTTTATCTTCATTTTTTGAATAGCAGATGGAAGTCGGTCACTTTGTCCCGATAAGTCGTGTTACTCGCCGGATCTCAATGAATTATAAAAACAGATGACGAATTATATTAATCGCAGATGTAATATCATTATGATAATCATATGATAATAATTATTATCGTAACTGCAACAGTTATTGAGTTGGCCATTCTACTACCAGGGAGGTCAAAAAGAATGGTTCGTGATGACAGAGGTGTAAGCAGATCAATAAGCGACACGGCTCAGCTAGCCGCCTGCGGTGCTCTGAAAGAACGCGAAACCATCCTTCGTTGCTCTGAAGGTGAGTCGTGTAAAGTCTTCACTGTCGCAATCTGGTTTGATGCGCTATTAGTATTAATGCGCTGCAATTAGTAATTGATCATAATAATGTGATATATCGATACTTTAAAACATTAATTTTAAAACTGTAAGTCATAAAGTATATAATTATGACTTATTTAGCGCACGTTTTCAAAGAAAATGAAGAGTGGAGGGAGTTTCAAGAGTCAATCAGTGCCATTCAAATATTTGAGAATGAATTTCAGTAATAATCATAGCATATAATTATTTCCATGGCGTGTGGGAATTTTTTCTCTTTGGTGCGTTTTCAAGGAAGAACCGTGTGATGATTCGCAGTCCCCCTCAAAACCATGTAGAAAAAGCTGTTGGTTGACAGTGGGTAAACAGGATATACATACTGAACCCTATGTATACCAAGTTCCCTTCGATTTCAATACAATGCCACTAAGAGATTATTTAAATAATAATTATGTAATTAATTATTTAACGTACGAAACTCTGTAATATACTGTACTTGTTTACATCGTTGCAGCGAAAGCGATTCAATACATGATGGTGCAATTTCTTAGCATTTTGGATACTTGACATTGTGACGTTATGTCTAGGTGGCTAACTAGGTTGGTGATTTAATGGCGCGGTCAATGTGAAATTAAGTGAACGGATAATTGGTGACCAGAAGCACCGTCTGAATGTCCGCAAATACAAGATGCAATAGGAAATGTGTAAATACGTTCTATCAATTGGTACATACATACACGAGCTCAATTTATACTGACTGAATTGTCACTCTGCTGAGATTCTCGCTCGTATTTCAGTTCAGTTTGGATGTTCGCATGCAAAATATCGACGTTACTTATAGAATTACATGCCTACTAGCAACGATTTGCGATATTTGTGAAGATGATGTGATGTAACAATCATATTCTACATTTTAATGGAGCTTTTAAGAGTGATTGGTTCGTTATAGTCAGGGGCATAAATCCCGGGGGGGGATGCATGAAGGAGGGGGGGATGGCCTGTACAAATATCCCCCTGAGATTCAAAAAAAAAGAGAGAAAAAAAGAAAGAAGGAAGAAGAAGAAAGAAAAAAAGAAAAGAAATGTGATGTCTTCAATTCAGCATAATCATGAGAAATGAGACGATGCAAATGAACTCTTTAAGAAATGTTCCAGACTCACAAATCGCCACAAAGTATGGTTGCAACATACAAAAACACGAGGCGGGGTGAAATTGTGAGAAATTGCAAATTCTTACTAAGACTGTGTTTAATACATGTGATTATTACTAATAACCTAACTGTCGCTCTCTGAAAATCATGAAAGGTGTTTTGAATCTAACTTGTAGGGTAAGTCTAGGGTTGAGATAGGTGTATCAGACATGAGAATATGGCCCACAGTTATCTCAATTGGCAGGAAAATGGCTTAATATTTCAAAATTTCTGGGAGGGATTCCCCCAACCGCCCTAGGCAGCTGGCATTCCTATGGTAAGCGGGCCTGCCTGCGCAGCAAGGTTAATTTCGCCCCCCACTCTGTCCATCATGATTTTGCACTAGGAATAGATAGTGATTCGCTAAGGGGATCGCTGCTGATTGGCTAAATTTTGTCTCTTATTTATTTTATTTTTTATTATTTTATTAATTGTGTTTTTATTTTAGAATTAGGGATAGATTAGGTTAGGTTAACTGATTCTAATATCCACAATTATTTCTATATTCACATATCTCTCCCTGAGACTACTATCGCATCAATTTAAATTCGCATTTGAGTTCACAAGGTTGAAGACCCTGACTCTTAAATGAATCGTGACATACTGTATAACGTGTAGGCTATACAAGTTATACATATTTTACTTATAATGTCCAAATTTGTGCCAAATGTGTCCGAAATATGTCAATGTTTTAGGCTTTATGGTTTTCAATTTGGCCTGTGCGTGCATGTATGTTATGCATGTATAAATATATGTAGCGTGGTTTTGTGGTGTGGTGTTTTGTTGTTTGTTCGTTTGTAAGTGTAATGTGTGTTGTGTGGGTGTTGTGTGTGGTGTGTTGTGTGTGTGTTGTGTGGTGGTGTTTTGTTGTTTGTTGTTTGTTCGTTTGTTATGTGTGTGTGCTGTGTGTGCGTGCGTGCTGCGTGCGTGCGTTGCGTGGCGGTGTGTGTGTGTTCGTGGAGCTGCGATCGCGCGCGTGGGTGCGTAAATTATTGTGGGCTTGTTGCTCGTGCTAGTATGTGATGGCTATCACCGATCACCCCCCCCCACTCCTCGAAACGT